CTTTCCACTGTTATTGAATAATCTAGAGTTAACACTAAGGAATAATATTCTGGTTCCTCCCGCTTTCTTCAACATTAATTATGCCCACAAATGCTAAGTAGGCAGCTCAGTATTTACATATGTACATACCTGTGTAACTCCCATCCAGATCAAGACAGAGAATATTTTCTGCACCCCAAATGGCTCCCCTGTGCCCCTTTACAATTAATAATCCTCCTAACGCCCTCTGTATGATGACTGCTATTCTGACTTCTATCAACACAGACAAATATTACCTGTCCTTGAATTATAAATAAATGGGAAATGTGTCTGGCTTCTTCAACATTATAGTTAAGGTTCACTCATGTTTTTGCATGAGTGGTAGCTTGTTCTTTGTATTGCCTTGTAGTATTCAGTTGTATAAAGATTCACAATTCTGCTTTAGACTATTGCGAAGAAAGCTCTTAGGAACAAAGCTCTTGTACCTGTATTTTGCTGAACATAAGTATTAATTTCCCTTAAGTGTGTATCTGGGAGGTAGTCTGAAGTTTAGTTTTAATGGATGTTGCTTTAATGGATATTGCCAAATAGTTTTGTGGAGTGGTTGTAACAATTTACATTCTCACCAACAATGCATGAAGGCTCCCAGTTGCTCCCAGTTTTATTATTATTTGATGTTTGGTATTTTTTATTTACTTTTATTTTTTGGCTTTAATCATTTTCTATTTGTCAGTTGCAGTTGACATACAATGATATATTAGTTTCAGGTGTACACCCCAGTGATTAGACATTATATAACTTACTAATTGATCATGCTGATAAAGCTCGTACCCATCTGACACCATGTGGAGTTATTAGAATACTACTGACTCTATATTCCCTCTGCTGTGCTTTACATTCCCTTGACTATTCTGTAACAACCAATATGTACTTCTTACTCCCTTCACCTTTTCACCCATCCCTCCAACCTCCTTCCCATCTGGCAACTGTCAAAATATTCTGTGTATCTATGAGTCTTTCTGTTCTGCTTCTTAGTTTATTTTTTTAAATTCATTTGTTGACAGATATGTCTTTATTGCCATTTTATTGTTCATATTTTTGATCTCCCCCCCTTTATTTATTGATTTTAGAGAGAGGGGGAAGAGGGAGGGAGGGAGAGAGAGAGAGACATTTGCTATTCTATTTACCTATGCATTCATTGGTTGACTCCCTTATGTGCCCTAAGCAGGATCGAACCTTGGCGTATTGGGATGATACTCTGACCAACTGAGCTGCTTGGCTTGGCTAAGGCCTTTTCTTCTTCTTCTTAAAGAAGACCCTTTAACATTTCATGTAATATTGGTTTGGTGGTGATGAACTCCTTTAGCTTTTCCTTGTCTGGGAAATTCTTTATATGTCTTATGATTCTAAATGATAGCTTTGGTGGGTACACTAATGTTGGTTGTAGGCCTTTGCTTTTCATCATTCTGAATATTTCTTGCTAATCTCTTCTGGCCTGCAAAGTTTGTGTTGAGAAATCAGCTGACAGGCTTATGGGAGCTCCCGCTTAGGTAACTGACTGCATTGCTCTTGATGCTTTTCAGATTCTCTCTTTGTCTTTAACCTTTTCATTTTATTTATGATGTCTTGGTGTGGGCCTCTTTGGGTTCATCTTACTGGGGGTAAATACCTTACATTGATATGCCAATGGCAATCAAAGCTCAACTACCACAGGATGGTGCATACATGTTTCGTTGTCTTCTCATTTTGGCAGCCTCCTTGTGTTTGTTTCTGCTGAAGCTCTTGGGCTTGGTAGAGTGGCTCTATGTAGTAGTTGTTCTGTAGGGTCCAGTGGCACAGCCTCCCCAATAACCCGAGCTGGGCACTCCAGGTATGATCCCAGACTGATCAGCTGCAAGGACTGGTTGCAGTGACCACCCATCATGGAGGATTTTTTGTGCAGGAGCCTACCCCACAGGACAGGACTTCTTTCAGTGGGGCTCTGGTGCCAGCTGAGTGAGTTTATTGTGGAGGTGGTTGGGTGGTGCTGGGACTTGGTCTGAAGCTGTCCAGTGGTGTGCTGGCTCTGAGGCCTCCCTGGAGGTGTAGACCAAGGTTAGCAGCTGCCTATATTTTGCCTGGGGTCACCTGGCAAGAGTTACAAAATGATCTGTAGATGGTTGCTACTTGTGCTTGGCTTGGAAGTGCCCAGGTGAGACTAAGCTGTGAACCAATGCCAGCTGCTGTTAGTGTTGGGCCTGGGGCCACTTAGAGGTATAGAGCACACCAGGGCCAGATACTGCTTGTTTGGGAGATTTTAGGAAAGTCTAAAACATGAGCAAAAAGCCATTTATATGGGTAAGCCCAGCGGTTCTCAACCTGTGGGTCGCGACCCCTTTGGCGGTCGAACGACCCTTTCACAGGGGTCGCTTAAGACAATCCTGCATATCAGATATTTACATTATGATTCATAACAGTAGCAACATTACAGTTATGAAGTAGCAATGAAAATAATTTTATGGTTGGGTCACAACATGAGGAACTGTATTTAAACAGCCAGAAGGTTGAGAACCACTGGGTAAGCCAATGGAAACAGCTTGGATTGGCCTGCAAGTTGAGTGCGGTCGCAGGGAATCACTAGGGTGGGGTGAACATGAGCCAGGTTGATGGAGACTGAGATGCGGTGCCCATTTTCTGGCTCTGTGGTGGAGGTGGGGTCCTCAGTAAAGGAACAATGGTTTCTGCTGGAACTTCTGTTTGGCTGCTCTCCAGCTCTGGCCCTGATGCCAGACAATTCATTTCCTCCCCATATGTCCATGGTTCCTTTCAACCTGCTGCCCGAATGCTGGAGCTCAGAGGGAGTGAGTCCAAATAAGTCCCCTGTGCGAGCCCTTTGAGAGGAACTGCCTGTGACTCCAGCAGCCCTGCGCCTCACTCAGGCACAATCCCTGTTGGTTTTTACAGGCAGAAGTCTGGGGACTTCTCTTCCTGGCACTGGAACCCTGAGCTGGGGGGCCTGGTGTGGGGCTGGGATCCCTTGCTCCTCAGGGGTGATCACCACAGTGGAGATACTCATTCTAATTTTTATCTACCACACATGGGTGTGGGGCCAGCCCTCTGTGTCTTCTCCCCTCCTGCCAGTCTTGATTTGTTTTCCTCTTTAAATCCCTAGTTGTAGGACTTCTGTTCAGTTAGCTTTCAGGCAATTCTGAATGATGGTTTTCTTTGTAGTGTAGTTGTCGTTTTGATGTGGTTGTGGGAGGATGTGTTTACCCATGACACCATCTTAGTATTTTAATTTTAAACTTTTTGGTGGGTGTAAGTATTTCATTTAAAATTGCATTTTCATAATGATTTATGACGTTGATCACTTTCAGTGTTGTTCATTGGCTATTTGGATATTCTCTTTTGTAAAGTTTCTGATTCTTTTGCCTTTTTTAAAAAATTGTGTTTTCTGTCTTCTTCTTATTGATGTAGTTCTATATATATTTTGGAAATGAGTCTTTTGGCATGTACATGTTTTGCAGTATCTTCTCCCAGTGTGTGGCATGTCTTTTTGCTCTCTTAAAAGTGTGTTTTGATGAATAGAGTTCATTTTATTGAGTCCAGTTTATCAATTTTTTCCTTTAACTTTTGTTTGTTTGTTAATCCTCACCCAAGGGTTCAGGTGTCTTTTAATTTCTCTCTGAGAAAATTCAGTTTGGCCCATAGACTGCAACTTTGGTAGCCATTTCACAAATGTATCGTTGTTACACAAATCAGGGAGTGGTAGAGGTGGAAATGCTATTGGCTCATTGTTCATACAGATGTATTTGGAAAGACATTCAGTGCTCATAATGGGAATGTAGAGGTAGTATAAAGGCTTGGCATCAGATTTTCAAGTTTTGTGTCCTGCTTTCCTAGATAAACCAGGGAAGTTACTTGACTTTCCATGCCTCATAGTCTTCATTTGTATTTACCTTTTGGGGTTCTTACAAGGATTAAATAGTTGCATGCAGGTAAAGTTCTTAGAACAGAACCTGATACAGAATAATATTCAGTAAACCTTGTTTTTGTTATGGACACAAAACAAAATTTAATCTGTGCCAGTTGATTAATGCTTGAAATTATTTCAGCTTAAAAATTAATGTAATAATGAGAAATATGTAAAATTTTGACAATTGATTAGAATAGTAGAAATAGATGATTAATATTCTGTCCTTTAAAAAAGGCATGGCTCAGTGGTTGAGTGTTAATCTCTGAACCAGGTCACATGCCTGATTGCCTGCTTGAATCCCCAGTGGTGGGGATGTGCAGGAGTCAACCAGTCAGTGATTCTCTCTCATTATTGCTGTTTCTCTCTCTCCCTCTCCCTCTTCCTCTCTGAAATCAATAATAATAAAAAATAATGATTGCTCTTTTAGGAAGACATTATTCTAATTACTTTATACAAATTAATTAGTTTAATCCTCAAAGATACTACTATTCTTATCCAGATTTTACAGATAAGAAACTGAGTCACAGATACATTAAACAAGTTGCTCACTGTCACTGGGATGATTAAATAGAAGAGTAAGATTTAAATCCGTGTCGCTGGCTCCAGAGTTATTTGTCTTAACCAATTTACCTACTACCTATATATATATTTAGCTATTTTACTAGCTATCTTGCTAAGCCAAGTAGGTGAGCAATTGTTGGATGAATGAATAAGCGTAATAATGTTTATTTTAACTTTCATTAATAGAATTACAAGAACTGTAAAAATTTGTTGAAGTACAATCTAAATAATTTTTTTCTTCCTTTGTTGATTTTTAACAAAAATTTTATTGGGAGGTGAAACAAATTAGTATAAAGTGATTGAGTGACAGTTATGTTTTCTTTTTTTTTTTTTTTTTTAAACATATTTATTGATTTTTTACAGAGAGGAAGGGAGAGAGAGAGAGAGTTAGAAACATCGATGAGAGAGAAACATCGATCAGCTGCCTCCTGCACATCCCCCACCGGGGATGTGCCCGCACCCCAGGTACATGCCCTTGACCGGAATCGAACCTGGGACCCTTCAGTCCGCAGGCCGACGCTCTATCCACTGAGCCAAACCGGCTTCGGCTATGTTTTCATTTTTAACTCTCTATCCAATTATAATGGAAACCTGTTAGAAAAACATTTTAAATTTATGGACCATACAGTATCCAGGTACAATCTTTAAATAAAGTTCAGTAAGTTTTTTGTTAAAGTTGGTCAACTTGTATTTTGTCAGGTCATTCTCCTTTCTCTATTTCAGCCCCCCTTTCAACTTGCCATATAATGCTCCTTGTAGTTTATAACACACTTGGGAATGTATTTTTAGGTGGAGATTTTAAATAATATATACCATTGCAGTTATCTCAAGTGCTGCTGCTGTCTACTAGGGTGACTACTGTCCCCCCCCCCCTCTCCCCATATATGAGCCTTTATCATGTACTAGGTATTATACGTATATTATTTCCATTCATCAGAATAAAGAAACTCAGGCCTAGACAGGTCCAGTAGTTTGTTAAGTGTAACTTGCATAATTGGTTTTTGTAGTTTAATAAGTTACTGATGCTACTTTTTGATAAACAATAATTGCCAAACTATTTTTGTGTTGAAAGTTTCATTTTATTTTAAGAAAGTAATTTGAATATTAGAATGGAAATACATTAAGCACTTACTAACTTATGTGATATTTTGTGTCTTAAGGAACTGAAATTACCATTCACTTTTTTAAGTGGACATATTCACGAATTGAGGATCCATGTACCATGGACAAAACTGGGCTCAGAACCAGTGGTAATCACCATTAACACAATGGAATGCATTTTGAAACTTAAAGATGGAATGCAGGTATGAAATTATTGTTTGTTTATGTTAACCAATTTTCTAGTTACTAGTGTTTGAATATTTCTTTAACTTTTGGGATATGTCAACTTTTACATAAATAAATGTTAGCTTATATACTTACTATTTTTATATGCCTGTTAAGTAACATAATTAATTGCAAAAGGATGTTTTAAATTTGGGTAAAATATCACAAGGGATATTTTCATAGTAATTTCACTTAATCTGATCATAGCCCTAATAGGGATCATGTAGATTGCTATTACCTATATCCACTAGAAGTGAAATCTGATTGTGTCCAGTTTTTGAATTTTTGCATAGTAACCACATGGCTTTTTATTTATGTGACATTTCTAAATGAGGTGAAAAATTTCGTTATTTTTGAGAAGATAAAAATATATTGAATTTGCCTTCATTTACCAAATTTCATTGTTGTCTGAGGTTTTGTCATCAGAAACTAATTCTTTTTTGACTTTTAAAAAAATTGATTTCAGAGAGAGGAAGGGATAGAAGGATAGAAACATCAGTGATGAGAAATAATCATTGATTGGCCGCTTCCTGCATGCCCCTTACTGGGGATCGAGCCTACAACCCAGGCATGTGCCCTGACCAGGAATCGAACCGGTTCATGGGTCAATCTCCTGGTTCATGGGTCAATGCTCAACCACTGAACCACATTGATCAGGCCTTTTCTGACTTATTTATTCTTTAACCCATCTTACATTTCTTTTTAGTGTTTTATTATAAAGGTGTAGTATTGATTTTAAGGAGTTTCTACAAAAAATGTTCTGGTCTAGGAAGCAATAGATCTGGAAAGCAGCATAATTGTGATACATTTTTTCCCTTTCATCTTGCAGAAAAGCAGTGTCTCTGTCATTCATTTTCACCACTTTTTCCTTAATCCACATTTACCTTTCATTTTTAGGGAAGGCTTTCTGTAACCAAATAAATTGAAGAGAACTTAAGGCAATTTTAGTGTATCCTAAATATAACTTAAATCTCTTGAAGTTAGTTGAGGTTAATTATGAATTATTAAAAATCATTTCCTAATTTAAGTACAATCTTTGAGTGTCATATCAACCAATGGGGCTGAAATCTTTTTTTTCCTTTTATGAAATCTTTGATTCAAACCTGTATTATACAATTTAACTTACTAATGTAGTTTCTTGAAGTAAGTAGACCAGTGCTATATATTCCCTTGAAAATTTATTTTGTGAACTTTAAATATTTGGGAGATTGGTTTAGAAATCTGTAGATAGTTATAATGCAACAAAGTTTATTTTACATTTTTATTTGGTAATACTTAAATGGTTCTTAGTCATCATCTGTCCTTGGAATTTAATTTTTAAAAAAATGTCTGGACTTAGTTATCGCACCCATACAGTGCTTCATATTATGAGAAAAAAAAAAGCCAGACACTAAGTATTTTTTCAGCAGGTAGGTGGAGTTTTCAAGGCCAGATGTCTCATAAGAAACACATTTTAGAAAAGGCAAATTACAACTAATTATCGAGGCTGCAGAAAAAGATTTGTAACACATGACTTAGTGCCACCTCGAACTAATATTTGATACTGGACCATGCAGATGGCTACTGCAGGAATGATCCAGATTTCCTGCTTGCTGGCATTTGAGACTTGAATTTTGTGGTGTGCATAGCAAAAGGTCAAAGTGTCATGATTGTAAACCACTCTCACAACAAGTATTTTTTACAGATGTTTAAAATTTTGAGGTAGAAAGGATTTGTGAGAATTGCGGCTGACATTTGGACAATTATTCAGCAGTGTATACCCCTGGAGAGTGTTACTTAGGTTTATGCCCCCTCTCACAGTCTGGGAGCCCTCAGGGGTGGGAGGCAACTCCCCATCACACCTCTGCTGCTGCCACTGCCAGCAGCGCCAGCCTCTTTCCCCCCAGCTGTTTTTTAGATTCCCTTATAATTTAAATACATTTGTAGTCTGATTTTTCTTATCTTAAATACTGAAAACACTGGGTTATAAAACAGTTTCAGGTAGAGTTGTTATTTATCTTGTACATTTTATTAAGACATATGATTTAAACCAGGAGTCATCAAGTGATGGCCCATGGCCTACTGCCTGTTTTTGTAAGTGAAGGCTTTTGAAACGTAGTCACTCTTAATTGTTTATATATTGTTTTTGGCTGTTTTCATGGTTCAGTGGGCAACGGCAGAACTGAGTAGTTGAGACAAAGTCTACCTGATTTGAAACCTAAAACATTTATTGTCTGGCCCTTTATAGAAAAAGTTTGCCTACCCTATTCTAATGAAGTTTTAAATGGTCTAAAATTGACATTTAATTTCATTAAAATTAAAATCATAAAATGATAAAAGTATATTGTCTTTTCTAGATTGATTATGATAGGAATTTGGATGTTAGTGGTTACTAAAAATTTAGAGAGCCTTTAAACATTTATGTTGAGGAGTTGACATTTTTAGTGTGGATAGAATATTTACATTGTTATTTATATTTATATTATTACGTGGGGAAAAGATTCTTCTCTGATTTCTAGAGCTAGGATTTATAGCTAAATTTAATCAAAGTTTCTTGGTTTCATTTGGCGTCTTCTTTATTTCTCACCTGTCTCTTCCAGCTTTTGCACCTTGAGCATACCTGTATTTTTCTTCAGTCTGACTCACTACTTTGAGCCTAGCTAAAATTTTCCTTTGATTTTATTTTAGCATTCCACAGCAATGTTTCCAATTATCTAGTCTGTTGTATTTTCAGAAGCATAAATCCTTAAATTTCTTCTTACTGGAAATCTAGTAACTTCAACTATCACTTCTATTTTGATGAGTCCTAAATCTTTATCTAACTCTGCTGTTTCAGTCTTTCCCAGTACATGTTCAGTTCCCTTGTGGACATATCTATTGGTGTGATGTACCTTCACCAGAAACACCACATATCTAAAATTGAATCCACTATTTTACCTTAAAATTTACATTAAAAAAAATTATTTGGTTATTTCCTGGGTAGTTTGAAACTTAGAGAACAGTCATCCTATACAATTCATGGTCAGGCATCTTTCTTTCTGCCTTGACATTTTTAAAGCTTGTTAGCATTGTTTTGCAAAGTTAGTATGTTTTATTTTCTTAGGAGACTGAGAAGGTAGTTGTATCATTGACTGAATTAGGATAGTATAAAGGACAGAGGATTTTTTTTGGGGGGAGGGGTTGGGAGTAAGGGGAAAGGAACAGTACGTTGCATAGTTTGAGTTTTGTTTTGAACATGTTGAATTTCAGGTGATAGCATTTAAAAAAATTATCATAGCTGCTTCCCTCATCATCTAATTTCTAAACTTTTATAGTCTATCAATTGTTGGGATCTCTGCTTTTCCTTTCTGTCACATAACCAGAAGGTTCTTTGTCCTGAATGAAGTACTTCATTTTCTTAAATTCCCATTGTTAACTTTTATTTGCTCGCCAATATGTAAAGCTTAAATTTCTTGGTCTGATATTCATGGTAGAGACCATTTACTCTAGCTTCTTTCTACAGCTTAATATTTCATTGTTCTCTATTTTACTTAAATTGCAGTACTTACTCTCTTTTCTATAAGATACATGCTTTCTTCCTTTTTACCTTTTTTTTGTTCAAGCCTTCCACCTTTTTTCTTTTTTCTGTAGGGCACAGTCTTTTCAAACCTGGTTTTTTGAGACACTTTCATGACTTAGTATATATGGTACTTAGTATTTACTGTTTTCTTGGCCTTTTCTCATGGGACGATAATAGAAAAAGGTGGTTAGAATTGTGCCATTTAATAGCAGTGTGATTTTGAACTATTAATCTCATCATGCCTTAGTTTCCTTATCTTTAAATAGGGTTACTTTTGCACAGGGAGTAGTGTCTAATTCATAGCATTGTTAAGAGGATTAAGACATGTGAATGTAATGTGATTATTACCAATAGATGACACGTTGGAAGTGCCATAAATAAAACAATTTGTTCCTTTTATCTCTTTTTTCTCCCTTCCTGCCTTTCTTCTTCCCTTTACTTTCTCCCTGCTTTCCTGTCTTTCTTTCAAGATTAGTGATTAAAGGAAGGGCTTTTTGGTCAGACAGATCTGGGCATTCATCCCAGCTCTCTCACTTTCTGTCTTTCTGGCCTTGGAGCATCTTCAGCTCTAATTTTCTCATCCTTAAAATACTGAGGGCTGGCACAGATAAGTGCTCAATAAAGGTCGTTGCTGACTAACTTAAATTATTCTTAATCTTTTATGCATATAAGTATTATTTCTTAATTAGGTAAATAAAATACCTAGATAAGGGTACTACCTACCTATTTTTTCTCAAACTGCGTAACACATATTTTTCTTTGACTAGGTATTCCTTGTTGAGGGAAATTATATATAAGAAAACAAAGTACAGTTTTAGTCTGTTTAAGCACCCAATTCCGCCTTGTGAATTGTGCTAAAAATTAGATGGTAGAATGTGATTTAGGCCAGAATGCCTCAGTATAGCTTTTGTTTTTTTCTCCCTTAATTTTGGCCTGTTTCACCTTCCAAATCTAAGAATGGATTTAACCACTTTAATTCAGTCGTTTAAATAAAGGGGAGGAGGAGACGGTGGCACTGTGATGCTCACCTATTGATAGGAAGAAAAGGGATGCCATAGGCCAGTGGTTGGCACACCGTGGCTCGCGAGCCACATGAGGCTCTTTGGCCCCTTGAGTGTGGCTCTTCCACAAAATACCACATGTGGGCGCGCACGTACAGTGCGATTGAAACTTCATGGCCTATGCGCAGAAGTCGGTTTTCGGCCTGGGCGAGTCTATTTTGAAGAAGTAGTTCGGAAGTGGGGGGTGTCGGTGGGTGGGGCGATGGGAGATGCAGCGCGGGGGAGGCGCACGTGATTTATGCTCCAGACGAGTTGAGCCAGCCAGTCAGCAGTCTCGTGCAGTGGTTAGTGCTAGTCGCGTCCGCAAATCGCACGTGGGTGACAAAAGTACCTATTCGAAGCATAAAGTTACCTGTATTTTTCCAACCAGCTGCAAATCCTACAGGTATTTTTGTCATCAATTTAAGAATTGTAATTACTTTGTGTTGGTGGCTTTATTATTATAAAATGAAACTTACCTGCTTAGAGGGGTTTAAATGCCTAACCTTGCTAAACAACTTCTCTCGCTTACTGTTTATTTCCTTCCTTAGCACTCATGACAACTGCAATTATTTGATGTGACTATTTATTTATTTATTTAAAGTTGATCTTCCTCACGAGAATGTAAGTTCCAGAAGGATGTCATGTTATCTCCAGCCTTAGACACATAATAGGCATTCCATATATTAGAGTATTGAACTCATGTTGTTAATACTAAGTACTCAATCCAAAACCATTAAGTTAATAACAATGTACCTACCTATATAGTTTAAGTTTAAAAATTTGGCTCTCAAAAGAAATTTCATTCGTTGTACTGTTGATATTTGGCTCTGTTGACTAATGAGTTTGCCGACCACTGCCATAGGCAATAATAAGCACATTTTCCCTGACTTGTTACTGTTAGCTGGCATAGTTTGATTGTTCTCTGCCTGGGGCAGTATCTGGGTCAGGTGGCTCTGTGTGTGAAAAGAACCAGAGGACAGATGGCTAATGAGTGTATCCTCTGGGGAGAAGGCTCAGGTCCTGTTACTGAGTAGCATGGATCTCAGAGATAGAAGAGTGGCCCCAGCACACAGGTTTGGAGTTAGTACAGTGATCTTTTTCATTGCTAAAATGTCGCCTAATGAATGTTCAGCTTTGGCCTGTCAGGTTAGCTAGTCCTCCTTTTGGGGAGATTAAGTAAAAGAATGCAAGGGAATGTCAACTCTCTTCTCCAGCCTCTCATAACCCTTACCCTTACCCTGGATGGGGGAGAAGACAGAAGCAGCTTCTGTGGCTGAAGTTGATGTGTGAAGAGAGAGGGACATACACACTCTTCCTTTACTTAATGTACGTGGCATTTTTTAAATGACTGAAATTAAGTTTATTGATATTACTGTCAGGGTAGAGGTGAACCAGAGATTTTCGTTTCTCCCTGGCTCTCTCTTCTGTTCTCCAAGTGTGTGCTTCTGCTTTGGTGACTTGATTTGGCTCTGACTTTCTGAATTACAGTGTTACTCTTAGACATTCTGTATTGCATCTGACAATTGACATTGTACTTGTTCCTGGAGAGAACAGAGGTAAAGTTTCTAGGAACTTTGTAGCTGTTTATTTCCCAGTCCCTTACACTCTGTTTCAGGAGCTTTTGGTGACTAGAGCTGCCAAGTGATACTTAGTCCTTTGCTTGCCAAGTTTGGTGCCATAAGGTGGAAGAGCATAAAGCACATTACTTCTTGGTTCCACTTTTCAGTTTTTCCTTCTTCAGCTCTTTCTTGCATTTTAACCTCTGTCTTTTTTAAACAAGGACTTGGAATGATTCATTCACTTGTTTTAAGTTTTGTTCTCATTCTTATGAATAAATTCATACCATTGTGAATCTGGGAGTTGACGGTTTTCAAGTTTTAATTGACTAGCCCTATGAGGGTTTAGGTGAAACATATGCTACACGATTCCATGACCTGTCAGTATGAAAGTAATGGATCTATATACATACAGTGTTGGCACATTTTTCTTGTTAGGAATTTTTGTAAGGAAATGACATTCTTACTTGTTTCATGAGGAGCAAAGGGATAGTATTTTCAGAGCTAGCTAGGTAGTCCTCAAGAGGAAACATTCTTTTGCCATGAAATATGTTTACCGGACATTTTGGAAAAATTGTCACCTAAATAAGAAAGATAAAATTGTGCCTGGCTGGTGGTGCTCAGTGGTTGAGCATCAACTTATGAACAATGGTTTTATTCCTGGTCAGGCACATGGCCGGGTTGTGGGCTCAATCCGCAGTAGGGGGCATGCAGGAGGCAGCTAATGGATGATTCTCTCTCATTATTGATGTTCCTATCTCTTCCTCTCTTTTCCTGTCTGAAATCAATAAAAATATATTTAAAACAATTAAAAAAGAGAAAGACATAACTGTAATGTGTTTGGGGTTAAGTATCTCAAAACATTTTAGCTAGTGTATTTGAGAACAGAGTTTCTTTTATTAGAATTAGAGCCTTTCAGTGAAGTAAAATGTGGAATAGTCCAACATGATGTATACTGGTTAAAAGCTGAGGAACTCAAACTAATGATGGAAGTAATTCCAGATATTTTTCTTTTCTTTTTTGTTTTTTGGTGCTAATCCTCACCCCAGGATATTTTTTCATTGGTTTATTTTTTATTTTTTCAGACAGTGGAAAGTAGGGTGGGAGGGAGAGAGGGAGGAGGCGAGATAGATAGATAGATAGATAGATATCAGTTGGTTGCCTTCTGCACATATCCTGACCAGGGCCAGGGATCCAACCTGTACTTGACCAGCAATCGAATCCGAGACCCTTTGGTGGCAGGCTGATGCTCTAACCCAGCCGTGGGCAAACTACGGCCCGCGGGCCGAATCCGGCCCGTTTGAAATGAATAAAACTAAAAAAAAAAAGACCGTAACCTTTTATGTAATGATGTTTACTTTGAATTTATATTAGTTCACACAAACACTCCATCCATGCTTTTGTTCCAGCCCTCCGGTCCAGTTTAAGAACCCATTGTGGCCCTCGAGTCAAAAAGTTTGCCCACCCCTGCTCTAACCACTAGACCATGCTGGTCAGGGCAGTAATTCCTGTTTTAATAGTAAATATTATAATTCTTGTTTTGCTTTATTTTTTATTTAATTTAGTTGGGTCAGGATTAAATGGAAGCCGACTTATAATTGAAACAAAATGTAATTGAAATGAAAACAAGTTATCAAAAGAATTATTTTCTAATTATACTGTATGTGCAACCATAATTTTCTATCCATAGTTGAGAAAGAAGTGTTTATACATTTGGTAATGTTTGTTTCATAGTATATATTTTTATGAGTGCCATGATTTATGCTCATTTTTAAAGTACACTGAAATTTCAGGTATATTATGAATTTGTTTAAGCAAATAAAGTTATTTAGTTTGTTTTTCTTTTGAATAATAAAAATGTGTAGTTTGTAGGGAAGCTTTATTTGTTGTGTCTTTTTCTTAACTATTTGAAAACTCATATTTAGCCTATGTTCTTTACCATTATTTTGCTACTAATAATTTTTGAAAAATAAAAATAACTTGTTCTTTCTTTTGCTTTAAAATGTTTGTCATCTTGTGCATGCCAGATTTATTGGACTGCGGTAGTTTTTAGTGCATTTTGGCTGGAATGTTTATTATGACATCACTATAATCTATATACAGTATGTGATTTCAGATGGTTTCAGTGTTAAATATTTTTATAATTATGCTAGCTTTGGCAGTTCACTTGGAATTTTTTCACATCTCTTTAATGAACATGTTTTACTTCTGGGCTTTTGAGACAACCATATGTTTCAAAAATTAATAGTGTGCTTTTAATGTTAACGTTGTGCAGAAGTGTATGACTACAGACATTTTTAAGGGTGTAAGTCGAACTAAAAGTAATTACAGTAAAGTTTTATTCATAGTAGTAGTCTTTAGTATTTAGAGTCTGTAACATCCCCCAAAATAACAGAAGATGTCATTGTAAAGATTGAATGGTGAAGTTGTTTTATGGAATGAAACATTGTTTTGTATTAACTTAAAATGAATATAATTTCATGCGAAATTTTCTTTGTTGTTTATGATAGTAAATACTTTACTTTTTGATTGTATTTGAGTTGCAAGCACATTTTTTCTTCTGATTTATCGCTGACATTTGAAGTCATACCATCATGTAAAAGATTAATCTTTTATTATTGTACTGGAGGCCCAATGCACAAAATTCATGCAAGAGTATAGGCCTTCTTTGCCTTGGCTGCTGGCACCGGCTTCCCTCTGGCACCCGGGGCCCTGGCTTCCCTCCAGCCGCAGCAGGCACCTGGGACTGGGGCTTCCCTTGCAGCCCCAGCTTCGTCCAGAAGGACGTCCAGTCTAATTAGCTTATTACGCTTTTATTATTATAGATCATTTTCTTAGTATGGTGTCAAATAAGAATTTTTGTTTTCTAAAGGAGGTCTTACTTGCTGCTTTCTTTAAAATCAATATAGGATGACCATGAAAGCTGTGGTTCTAATTCTACCAACCCTAGTACTACTGAGAATACAAAATCATCAGTGAAACCTCGAAGAATTCAGCAGGCTGCTCCCACAGATCCTGATTTGCCACCAGGTAACTTCTCATGGGCTTGACAAAGCCAACATTTCAATTATTATTAATTGTAACCCTTTGTAGAATTCACACTTTCGGTATTCTTTAGTGCTATGAAATATTTAGACTGTATGTGCATTTGTTGCATGAATTTAGAACAGGTTGAATCCAGAGCCCTCAGGAATGTCTTTCATTTAAACTTTGAATCTCTTTTGCAGTAGGTTGTTCCTTACGTTTCTTTTTTATGTCCTCTCCTTGAAAAAACTTGCCTCTGATTTCCCACACATAGTATTTTTGTCCTCCTGGCTTCTTGATAAACAGAGGAAAGACACTAGATTGTTTGGAGTTTCTAGAAACTATAAAATTCAGTACCAGAGACACAGAGTTTAATTGGGAGAGACCATGTGTTCTATTTTCTGAAAATTTTATTTACCTGGAACAGTAGTGACTTATAAAAGTTCCTTGATAAATACTTAATGAAGAAAAAAAACGACGATCATTACATGTTAATTCTGTGGCCAAAGCATTACTGTCTTTTTACAGTTAGGAATTGTTTATTAGTTACTTCTTTTTTATTTTATTTATCAGTCACTTCTATTTTCTGAGGTGTAGGTGACATTGGTATACACTTGCTTTCTGTGCCAAAGGTTTGAAGGCTTTCTGCTGGTTTTAACCTAGTTAATTTTTGTCAGTCTTCTGGCACCAAGTGCTTTACCTCTAAGAGGCTGGTATTAGGTACACAATTTCATAGCCCTCCTCCCTCAAATGTATGTTCTAAGTTACATTTGAATTGAACATTTTAAACTAGTGTTATAGTGATGTTAACACTGATGCTCTGTATTCTTCAGAACTCTGTACCTAAAAGGCCTCAGTAATCTCTCTGACTGTAGAATAGATTAATTGCTATCGTTGGAGAAGGTGCCAGAAGATATTTTATTACTGAACATTTATAATTCTACTTAGAGTAGTGTGGTGGTTTTGGAGCTTTCTAAATTTGTTCTTGCTAATTAACTACTTGGGAAAAATTCCTGGTGTTTTAAATTAACCTGTAAATTAAATTAAACTGTAGCTTGTTCTTATTTATTAATTGGGCAACCTTTTTACCCCTCCAAATTTCTAATTACATATACCCCCAAACTTATTCTACCAGCTCATTTTATAATATGCAAAGAATAATCCTGGCAAAGAATAATCAGCTTTAGGTTTAACATTTGAGTCTCATCCCCTTTCCCCTTTCCCCTTCCCCTTTCCCCTTTCCCCTTTCCTTTTTCTCTGCACCTGAGGATATTTTTTTAATTGATTTTTAGAGAGAGTGGGAGAGAGACACATCAATTGGTTGCCTTCCATACCACCCCCCCGCCCCCCCCCGGAGGTGGGTATCAAACCTGCAACCCAGGTCTGTGCCCTTGACTGGGAATTGAACCTGCAGCTCTCTTTTGCCAGGGCCATTGCTCTAACCCAGGGGTCCTCAAACTACGGCCCGCTGGCCACATGCAAATACAAATATTGTATCTGTTCCCATTTTGTTTTTTTACTTCAAAATAAGATATGTGCATGTGTATAGGAATTTGTTCATAGTTTTTTTTTAAATTATAGTCCGGCCCTCCAACGGTCTGAGGAACAGTGAACTGGCCCCCTGTTTAAAAAGTTTGAGGACTCCTGCTATAACCATTGAGTAGCCGCCAAAGGCACATTTTTCGTCTTCTAAGAAATGACTTAAGAAAAATTTAAAGCTTTTGTCAGTTGTGAATTTCACAGATAACAACCTTCTATGGGCTAACTTCCATGTACTCAAAATAGGTGCCAGATTTTTAGTGATTTTTTTTTTAGAGTCGGTATTAGAATTTATATTGATATCCAGAATTGGGAGAAGTGGTCTATTTTAGGAGCATAAAACATAAAAACATAAATGTAACATAAAACATCCTATTTTCAGTGGTATAAAGCAGAGCTGTGTTCTACCTGAACTACTTGAGGTAGCTTTTGGATTAACATGTGCTTTTCTGCATTACCTAATAGAAGGACTCATATTCTCTTTTATGCTGACATAAATCACAGTTAAGGAGTTGCTTTAAGAAGTAACTGAACTTGTTGGGCAATTACTGAGAGGCACAGCAGCTAAACTTAATCTTGCGAAAGGGACAAAAAAAGGGATGATTTGAGAATCCAGTTGGATAATGGTAAATCATTTTATTTCAAGGTTAAGTCATATGGTTATTTGAGGACTCATTTCTGGTAACCTTATACTGCCCAGGAATGATACTAATTTTCTTTCATTAAGAGGTGAATTCTTGCTCTCAGAATTTTCTAGAGCAAAGTTTTTTCCCCCCAGTATCTGTGTTTACTATTTTAGAGTTTGAACATTTACATTAATCCAGAGATGCTTATTGGAAAATGTTTTGGTGTTGCCAATAGTTGTTTTACACCCCTGAAGGTTGAGTGACTTTCTAATAGGCAAAGACTGTGAGTCAATATATAATCTTTTCTTTGCAAGCTCTATTCTTGATATCTAGAACAGTCTTTTTCAGATTATGATTCCTGACCAATTAGTGTATTATGAAAACATTTAGTGGGTCATGGTGTGAATTTAAAGAATATGTGGCATAGAATAGAAAACCTGGTAGCGCACATCATGCAGTACAGGGTAGTAATATTTCAAGAAACTTTTGCATATGTGTGTGCTTGTGCTGAGTAATGATGTAATATTTCTTACTGTGAGAGGGGTCAAAAGAATTTGAATCTGACTGGTTTGAAGCATACAGTTTCCTTTCAGTTAGTAATATACAAGCCAAGACCTTGAGTTATTACTAATAACAATTTTGAGTTTTGAACTTAACATATCCTGTAAGATATGCTGACAATTTGTATTTAGAGACACATTTTAAGGTTATATCATTTATTTATTCATTTATGCATCTTTCCTCCGTATTCTCTATACTTTATATCTCTGTAAAGTGATGCTACTTCTAAGCTGGGAACTTGGATTATTGTAGCTTTCTTAGAACTAAGTTATTTGACGTGGTGTATCATTTATTCCATTGTACCGTCACTGTTACTTTGACCTTGCATTTTTAATAAGGAAACATAGTCTTCTGTAGATGTAGTTATTTTTAGATATTGGGCTCTTTTTTTTTTGATGAATTGCCTTATTCATCTCAACTTTATCAGTATTATGGGAAACTGAGGAAGAATATTTAAAAATGGATGAAAAATCCATTTGTAGTGAGTGTTCTATCATTGAAACACAAACCAGAAAGAATGTATGCACCCCTATGTTCATAGCAGCGTTATTTACAATAGCTAAGATTTGGAAACAGCCCAAGGGTCCATCAATAAATGAGTGCATAAAAAAACTGTATTACATTTACACAATGGAATACTATGCAGCTGTAAAAAAGAAGGATCTCTTACCCTTTGAGACAACATGGAGGGACTTGGAGAGCATTATGTTAAGTGAAATAAGCCTGTCAGAGAAAGACAAATATCCCATGATCTCACTTTTTGTGGAATCTAATGGACAAAATAAACTGACAAAATAGATCCAGAGACATGGATGGAAGCATGCAACAGACGGAAGATTCTCAGAGGGAAGGGTAGGAAGGGATTAAAAGGTTTCCAGTAAATGTGGTTTTTCTTAGTATATGAATACTTTATTATATAGAACTTATCTGTAATAGTGTTTGGCTGAATCTTCTGCTTATTAGCTGTGTTACTTTGATAAATCTGTTTACCTGTCTAAGTTTAGTTTCTTCTTTGCAAAATATGCTGAGCTTACCCACCTTTTATGTACATTATGCTCAATAATATTTTAAGAAATAATTATTTATTGACTGACTTGTGGCTAATTGCATTCTTTTTTTCCTGTATTGTAGGTTATGTACAGAGTCTGATTAGACGAGTTGTAAATAATGTAAACATTGTTATAAATAATCTCATACTGAAATATGTTGAAGACGATATTGTTCTTTCAGTCAACATAACTTCTGCGGAATGCTATACTGTAGGTGAATTATGGGATCGTGCATTCATGGATATTTCTGGTGAGTAAATACTATAGATTCTCCTTTATTGAAACCATTTTCTTGGATTCTAAACCTTTCTCGGGCCAACTGGCTCTTAGATGAATCTAATGAAAACTGTAGGCCTTCAGACTGGGAAAATGTACATATGTAAAATCTAGCATGCAATTACAGGAGGTTAATAGAGCCTTAGATTAAGAAATCCCAGGCTTTTTTTTTAAAAATATATATATTTTTTATTTCAGAGAGGAAGGGAGAGGGATAGAGAGATAGAAACATCAATGAGAAAGAACCATTGATTGGTTGCCTCCTGCATGCCCCATACTGGGGATCAAGCCCACAACCTGGGCACGTGCCCGTGACTGCAATTGAACCTGGGCCCTTTCACAGGCTGATGATGGTCTAGCCACTTAGCCAAACCAGCTAGGGCTTAATAATGTAATTTTTAAAAATCTTCATTTTCC